GGAGAGGCCTTGCCGTGCTTCGGCACAGGGCGCCAAGTGGAGCTTCGCCCTACCTACCCCAGTCTCCGGGGTTCCTTCAAAGTTTGCGGTTAGTGTGTGCAAATCCAACTTCGCCCCCCTCTTGACCAAAAGAGCGAAATCTCGGGGACGATCCGCCACGTGGGACACCCATATGCGTACATACAACCTCTGCCTCTGTTTCCTGACCACCATTCAGCCCGCTTCAGGGCCTCTCTTTTACTCAGCCTTAACGAAACACATTGACGGTTTGTGATACTCAGACTACTCGTACATGGCGTCCATGAACCTGTCAGACATCTTGGCCTCGCAAGCCTCGCTCCTCAAAGACGCGTCCGAGGCTTTGCCGCACCAATTCTCCCAGTGCACCTACAACCTTGGCTACATCCGACAGGCCGTATACCTCTGTAAAACATGCTCCCATCGAAGGGGTATATGTTCGGCGTGCTCCATCGCATGCCATACAGACCATGAGCAACTCGAGCTCTTCCCGAAGCGCAGGTTCCGGTGCGATTGCCCCACGTCTGCCCTGGCACACCCGTGCGCCTTACATCGAATTGGACATGGGAAGGAAGAGGAAAACTCTCTAAATGAGTATGGTCAAAACTTCGATGGCGTATTCTGCAGGTGTGGGCGAGAATACGACGCGGAGAAAGAGATTGAGACGATGATTCAGTGCTTGGCATGTGAGGTGAGGACTCGTGGGATTTGTTCTTAGAGGTGTCTTACACCGTCCTCCTTGACACCAGGACTGGTATCATGAATCATGTCTTAATCTCCGTGAACGTCCTTCGTCCCGTGCGTCTTCGCCCGACGCGTCGGACCCTCCGAACGATACTATCGCCTCGAGCACCGAAGCAGCCGCTGTCGATGATGACGCACAATCCGAAGCGTCGTCTTCAGGCCTGCCACCGCCTTTGGTGGCTGCGTCTGCCTACGATGCGTTTGTGTGCAGTGCTTGCGTACTGAAGATTGCTACCCTACGACGTTACGCTGGCACTCCTGGCGTGCTCATGGTCGTCCGAGATACTCCAGAAGACGCCTGGAAGATTATCGGCCGCCAAGCAGACCTAGACGATGTTGTTGACATTGGTGCAAATCCTGGAAAAGCTGAAACGACGGCTATAGGAGAGAAGCGACCTCTCGGTGACTCTGACCAAGTGCCTCAGCAGAGCAAACGATCTCGCGCAGACTCTGTCGGCACCTCCAATGTCGTAAATGACGCCGCAAATGATGAACCTCCCCACCCTTGTCTTTCACCGGAGCCAAATATCCTTGGACAAAGCGTTCTGTCTGCCGCCCAGGCGAAGAGAGGTGAGATCGCTACTCTAGGTA